AGTGATTCCATCGGGTCCCCGAGTCGGTGGTTCCTCGCCTATCGCCCTATCTGAGCAAGGTCCGACCGACCTGTTTTCTCTGTCTCGCCCGCATTTTCGTCGGAAGCAGTGGCCTCGTCTTCGGGTTATAGAACTCCATCTCCTCCGGAAGGAGAAACTGCCGCCGATGGCGAAAAGAGACGGTGGATGAAATGGACGTTCCTCCTCCCCCTCTACTGAAGAGGAGTAGAGAGGCTTCTGAGTGGCATCCGGTATGCGAGGGAGATGGGTGAATGTGGTTTGATGCCGCTAGGTGGTTTGTTCTTTTGGACACGTTAAGAGATTGGTTTACCCACATAGCCGAGAACATAGGCGCGCCCTCACTTCTGCTGGATTTGCTGGTTCAAGGGGTTTGATAAGTCTTTAAAGGGTCTTAGTCGCCGAGAACTTGGTACAAGTGTGGACCGGTTTCACTTGTTGGCGTAGTTGGCCGCTCATTTCCAAGGACTGACCTTGACCAAGTTGGTGAGATCACTGGACATGGCTCGGAAGAAGTTACCTCTATGCAAGTGAAGTTGGGGAGGATGGGTGGCGATCGGGACTCCCTACAACTTAGATGATATGACAATGCTCTCAAGAGTCATGAAGAGTTTCTTGTGACTATACACGCTCTAGAGGGAGATGTTAAGGAGTTGAAAAGGAAGGTTGCTTCTTCTGTGCCCCAGGAGGACATAAGGTTGAACTGGCAGCTCCGAAGCGGGCTGGAGTTTGTTGTCTAGAGGTTCATCCATCATGGCCTTATTGACCCCAAATTTTCCGATTCAGATGACTTCTCCACCTTGATTTCAGACAAGTCAGAAGAGTCTACTGAAGAGGAGGACGGAGGAGGGCGGTACGGCAGCGATGATGGATTTGTTGCCTGCTAGCATCCTGCTGTAAAAAGGCGCTTGTAAATTTTTTTTAATGAATCAAAAGAAAGACATTTGTAATTCTTTTTGTGATATATGAGAAAATCCTGTTAGTTTTTGTTTTATTTCAGATTGATTATGATTTGATTTATTGCTTGCTCAAATTGCGAGTTGGTCTGTCGCATTGGCCAGTCGACCGGGATAGTTCATTAATTCGTTTTATCCGGTTGTCGCCTCCCGAGAGACTCGCGTTTGAAGTAACCTTTATGACCCACCGCGAATCTTATCGCTAGCATGTCTCTTGATTGCCTCTAGAGCTAAACCCCGAAATTTGGATGTCATGTTTTGGTTGGTCGACCCTTAATTCTTTAGGAATTCGTTCGACCTAAATCATTGATTGCGAGTGAAACCGTGCTCCCAACTACTTTTTCATAGCGATCGATTAATGCATGTCGACTGATTGGCTAACCCAGAACCGAAGTTATTGCTTGGCCCTGCTTCATTCGGCCGATTGGGTCTTTGCCTCAGCCGGGTTTTTTCCTTTAACTAATTGCGGATATTGTCGTCACTTGCGAGGGTCACCCTTGAGGGACTTGTTTTGCACATGCTCTTTTGCAGATCTTGTCGCTAGTGAGTGGAGAAGCACCTTCAGAGGCCTAAACTTTTCGACTTTAGGGACCTAGGTTCTCAATGCGAAGGTGGTGCAAACAGTCAATCGATTCGTCATGATCGATCGCTAGGATTGCATACGCCATCGTGTACTTATGGGCAATTATACATTATTTTTACTAGTTATTCTTCTGTTGGACGTACATGCCAAGGATTTTAGAATCAGTAGCCAGGCAGCTCCTGCGGCATCCTCGGTCAGGTCGAATTACCCAATCGTTGAGAAACGACGATTGGCCTTTTCAGCGGGTTTGGTGTCGTCGTCGTATCACGTGACCTCGGTGGGTCGGTATTATAGGCACCATTGATTCCCTTTCTCTTTCCCTTTTGGGAAATTCGCCGTCGACTTGTCCTGTCATTGTATTTAGTTGTTCTTTTCACTGTGGGTCCCAGACAAGCTTTTATCGGGAGTCACTTTTTTAGATTGCTGGCCCCTTTTCTTCTATAAAAAGGGAAGAGGGGGCCGCTGTCGACTTTGTCTACATTTGAAGAAAAATTATTAGCGTATAACAATAGGTGCATCGACGGCTTGGTGAAAGACCAAAGGCGAAGGTGACCTTCTCCCGACAGGAGTGAAGAGCCCTACATGGGTCATGTGTTGACTTTTTTTTTTTCAAGTCGTGTGTCAAAGAAGGGAGTTTCCACCGAGTCAGGTGTCGAACGTGACACTAGAGTAGATGGACTACCGAGGTCATTCCACCTCGCGAACGGGCATATTATCCCATAGGGATGTGTTGTGCCAGCAGAATGTTACGGAACACAATACGTCCATTCGATTCTTCTGAGGGTGTGTTTCTTATTAAAAAGTTTGTAACATATGTACCTTTTGCATTGTTGTTACCGGGATTTTTTGTACCTTCCGACCAAGATGACTAAAATGTTCCATTTTTTCTAGTTATAGTTTTTTTTTTCTGTTTGCTGGTATTATGATCGATCGGTTTGCATTACGCCGTTTTCCTTTTCTCGTTCAAGCAATCCAACTGTAAAAATATCAATCGTTTGACTGTATCTAGTTTCAAACGAAAAACCGACCCCCTATCCGACCGAGAGAAGTTCCTCGAGTGTTAGCAGTCTGTGCGTTATCCAAGTGGAATTAGATGACCATAATTTTTATTATATCGATCAAACTTACAAGTTAGTAACGTCACTCTCTTTGATGCTTTAAAGAGAAAATTTTTAAAGAAAATAATTTCAAGTAATCCCCACTCCATGTCCGAGGGAGTTACTTGACCGCATATGTTTTGAGTTTGCAAGCCCCCGGAGCTACTCTTTGGTCGATTATGTATGGTTTGCTCCATGTATGGTCCAACTTGTTGACTGTCGCGTCAATTTTCTTCAAAACCAAGCCCTCTTCCGGATGTGTTTGTTGAAGTATCGAGTCGTTCGTCTTTTGATCTCTTCTTGTCAAAGGGTTGAGTCACTTCGCCTTTCTTCCGCTAGATCAAGGGCCAACATTGCGCCTTCGATATTTGCTTCCTGCCATTTGGCCAGGTTCTCCTCTGCGAATGACGCGATCGTGACGATCCTTTGGTTTACAAAGAAGGAATCACTGCCTACACTCAATCAAGATACAACCAATGCATCGTTAGAAAAAAGAGGATACAATATTCCAAACTTAAAGAAAAGAAAAAATTTTACTCTCAAGTTTTATTCAACTAAAAAAAGTCCATTTACTTGTATAAACCACTACTTTTACACGAGAAATGACAAAACCATTATGGTAAACCAAACATTGAACAAGACCTTTGGATTGGATCCATTCATGGAAAAGTGGGACATCATCGAGCGGTTGTGTTGGATATGACCGGTCACTATTTCGGACTAGCATCATAAGAAGAAAAAGGTCTCTTTTGTGTCATCCTCTTAAAGTAGGAGGAGTGTCGTCTTCATTAGCTGGAACATCTTGATCTTCATAGTATGTTGATAATTCGGCAACATTAAAAGGTGTTGAGATTTTATACAAGATTGATTAGTTTGCTTTTGATATATGACATTTTTTTAGCAATCTCTTTCTTCACCTACTCATGCGATTGTTGAATCTTAATGATTCTAATATCAACTTCAGTGTAATGCTCGATTGTAGTAAGGATAGAATCCAAATCTTGAAGCGAGTATTTTTTCCCATAAACCACCTCAAATGAGCTAGGAGTTATAGATTCACTCATTTAACGATTGTAAGCAATCTAGATTTGAAGCAGAATCAAATTTCACCATCAAATGTTTGGGCTAATAAAATATCAGAGGAGATTGCCCAGACTATGATTCAAGGATTTCATTTGGCCATATATTTAATGGTGAACTGTTGAACTGAACTGGACCTTCGTTCCCAGCTTATCTCACTAAGTCCTAAGTTAACTCAATAAATTTACACCTCAATCTTGCTTAATTAGAGGTGTGTATTGTTTGGTAAAAATGGATAAATCAAACCAAACCAAGGTCATTTGGTTGATTCGGTTAGATTTTAAAATAACTAGTTTAATTTTTATTTTAAAACTTTTAAAATTTGGTTTTTAGATTTCGGATCGATTTTAACATTCCTTAAACTAAAGAAATAAAAAACTGAATAATATTAAGATCAAAAAATTAAATTAAATTGGAAAGAAAATAAATTGAGCATATGGCTTTTTTATTTTAGTATAGCTAGAAATTTTTAATTTTAAAGGTATATTGAGAAGATAAATGAGAGGAATTAAATTTTTATTTTGAAATTGAATATTATGTTTTGATTATTTCAGCTTGAAATAGAACCAAATGTTATTTTTTGATTTGCTTCAAAGCAAATTGATTAAACCAAATTAGATCTCGGTTTAGTTTGAAGCAGTTTTAACAAAAATTTGGTTTATTTTTTTGGATTTTGGATTTCAGTTTCATTCCATTTGAATAATTTGTGAACTGTTTCATCCAAATTAACTTTTTTGCACACTCAACAAAATACGCTATTTTGTCCTTTGTTTTTAGGCGCTGTTTCTGGGGAAGTCCCACATTGAAATCTTTAGTCGTCTCCACTTAATATAACTCTGGAATAGGTAGTGGATGTTATAAACCATTATTTTATTGCTTGAGCCTCAGCCATGTGACATACTTGACACTTCCTAACGTGCTTATCCACATTAAGGTTTAGGGGACAAACCGGCCTATTTTTGCCGGTTCCAATCCGGTTCAATGCGGGGGCGGTTGCCCGAACCGGACCACCGGTCGGTTCACAGTCAAACCGGCAGGTTTGGTCTGGTTTTCTAAATGCCGGCTAAATCTGAGCTAACTCAAATAGAAGTTCTTTAAAAGGAGTTATAAAAAATAGGCTTGCCATCTCTGAAAATGAAGATTTATAAAACCGGTCCAAATACCAATATAAATGGTTGGGACCAGGCTAATGTTGACAATAATGATGATGTTGTTGAATTTGGTTTCATATGATTGCTTTCCAAATAAATGTTTGCTTTTCATCAGGTTCATACACCAAGGATCTGTGCCCGTTTGATTTGGTCCATTGCGGAACACTTGGATCTTGAAGGTCTGGATCCACTTCTAGCTGATGATCCAGAGGATCCTCTAAACATCCTTATTTCAAACATGCACAAGGTGCTATTCAGCAGTGATACATCTGCAATCAATTCTAATAGGCTTCAAGACGTGCAAGCTGTTCTACTCTGTGCACAACGTTTAGGATCAAGGAATGCACGAGCTGGCCAACTTCTCAGTAAAGAACTCGAAGATTTTAGAAATAGTACGTTAGCTGATTCTGTCAACAAACATCAGTGCCGCTACATCTTGCAGATTATCAAATATGTTTCCAGTCATCCAGAAAGAAGGTTTGTTTTCATGTTCAGTCTATATCTTTTATCGGTAATTTCTCAGTTTATGTGTGCAGTCTTTATTTAACTGAATTGCATATGTATTGGTCAGATGCATGATACTTAATTTTCTCTGATGTGTTTATGTATTGTTGTTTACTTTACTTGTGTATATTTGTGAAAGTTTTTCTATATTTATGTCTTCATGGGCACTGTACCATCTTCTTCCCGATGTCTCTCTCTTTCTGATTTTTAATCAAAGAGTCCCGCACCTCCTCACATTTAAAATGGATCCAACTTCGTGTTGAACATATAATGTGGATGTTAAAACTAAAACGCTGCTAAAATCTCTATTCCTCACACGGGACTGAATATTGTGGTGCTATTGAAATGTGCTTGAGTGAGGTGAAGTTCTAAACCATTTACAAAATGAGTTTAACTGGCTGTATTCATCAATGGAGTGTTATGCATTTCAGTGGTTCATGTTAACCTTGAATTATTATCTTGAGATCCTGGAATAGCAGGCAACATATATGATATAAGGGCTGTTTATAATGGTACAAGTTAATTAATCATGCATGTAATAAATCCTTGAAGATGTATTAGCCCATAAACAAAAAATTTGGATGTGGACGCCATCGTGTGGATAAAAGGAACAAATTTTATAACAAATTTGAATTTTGAATGTTAAAGGTAATTGATCGGAATAGCTGAAATTATTTTGTATGAGGACAACTTTGGTATCTCTTCCATGGATCTGATAAACATAATAAGTAGCCAGTAAAAGGATTGGAGGTTTAGATTTAAGATTACTGGCGACGTTTCTCCCTGTGATGGAATGATATTATTTTAGTGTAATCTTGTGAATGGTTGACATTTTCTTTGTTTATTTATCCTTTATTACATTCATTTTTAGATATTTTTTAGTTTTGGTGTCTAATGGCTAGCCTTAATTGAAAGTACATCCGTTATTAATGGATGGGTAATTAATTGCAGGGGCTTGTGCCTATGAAAAATCCGGAACCCATATCTTGAAGTTCTTGCAAATTGAGGGCCAAATCATTGAATAGTGCCTTAAATACCATCTGCTATGGTTATTCAGGGCATGGCTCTTAATATAGTTGACATCCTTCCATCATTTGCAACAGTAATTTCAAGTACTTTTTTGCTTTCTTTTGTACATATTTGTTATTAATTAAACATACTGTGACCAAGATGGAATATCCACTAAGCAATAGTAACTGCACAATTGTCCAGTTTCTTGTCCGCTATTTTGAAGTCTGAAATTTTTTTTTAGGGGCATTTACATACATACCATCCAATTCTTATGTATTTACATATTTAACACCTAAACTTTACTTTTTACATTTATACGGCCCAAATATTCATATCACATCAAAAGTGCACAATTTCAACTTTAAAAAAGTGAAATAAGCCCTTTTCATGTATGGGTAAGGTGGCCTACGTATATATATGTAAAAATTGACGTTTAGGTGTTGGATATGTAAATACATAAGAATTGATTGGTATGTGTGTAATTCTTCCTAGTTTTTATGGTTATCAATTTTATAATCATCTAGAAGTCGGCATCCTTTCCTGTGCATCTTATTTCTTTTCTCTTACTTTAGACTTCAAAGTACTCAATCACATAGAAAATGTGCTGCGATTTTTTAGACCTTTTCTTTCGAGTGACATTGCTCTCTGGTTTATCAGATGGGTAATGCTAGACTTCCTCTTAAAAGATTAATTATTCAAAACTTTTCAGATGGTCAGGTGTAGGTGAAACAAGTGGAGATTACCCTTTTAGCCACCATAAATTCACAGTGCAATTCTATGAGGCATCTGCTGCTCAAGATCGAAAACTGGAGGGATTGGTACACAAAGCCATTCAAGAACTGTGGAGACCAGAACCAAGCGAATTAAGCCTTTTACTAACAAAGGGTATTGAGTCTACTCTCCTCAAAGTTCCTCCAAAAGCACATACTCTCAGTGGTAGTAGCGATCCTTGTTATGTGGAAGCATATCATCTAGCAGACTCGATCGATGGGAGAATTACATTGCATTTAAAGGTTATCGTCAAGCTATTGCTACATTGCCATTTCTTTGTCATCATCTTACCAAAATTTACTTGTTAGTACATTATGTTTTTAAGGTATTCATTTAAGTATCATGCTGCAGACCTCAACCAATTTCGTTTTGTTTAATTTAAGGAGCATTTATATACATACTGCAACTCTTATATATTTACATATCCAAAACCTAAATTTTCATATTTACATGCATATCACTTAAATATTTAACATCACATCATAAATACCAGTATTACTTGCATTTATAGGTTTATAACACCAAATGTTATAAATGTTAATATCATACTTTAGAATTTAATGGCATGTATGTAAAATTCCCTTAATTTATTGGCATGATCGATAGAACTATGGAAGTTTTCAATGGAGTCCTCTTAGACGCGTCTTGAGCTTTGTATGGTGTTGCATAAATTTTTTATTTTTTATTTTTTTTGACATTGTCACTCTTCTATTTTGCATTAAACATTCCGCTCTGAAAGAATTGCTAATGATCAGCTTCATGGAATGCAGTTTCAATTTTAACGTTTATAAATCATATTGGGTGATAATACACTGCGTAGAATGGTTTTTTGTCACAATTTTCTGCCTGCTCCATTGATCACGCCATTGCACATTGTTTTGAGAAAAAGAAACTTTGGTTCTTTGAAAATGAAAAAAAACTTGACCTTTGCAAAATGATTTTTACTAGAACAAAATTTTTAATGAGAAAATGAATTATGATTTGCATGGAAATGATTAGGGTGGCATTTCTCTTACCTTTGCACATAGTTTGACATTCCTGGTCACTATTCTTTCCTTCATTTATTCAAATTATATTTTTTTTTCCTTCTAACTTAAATTTTTTTTGAAGCCAAGATAGTTTTTGAAGTATTAATCTTTTCAATCATGAATTTTATTAAACTTGTTTATATGATTGTCTTGTCAAGTCGTACTATAGTTTTCACACTCACACATTTGTAGAGTAATAATTTCGTTTATATGATTGATGCAGATTCTAAATTTGACTGAACTAGAGCTAAATAGGGTGGATATCCGGGTTGGGCTCACTGGAGCTCTGTATTTCATGGACAATTCTCAAGGAGTACGGCAGCTACGGAATCTTGTTTCCCAGGTATCTTTTTCTGGAACAGGCGTATTTCTATGCAAAGTAATAGTTAAAAGTAGGGTATCTTTGCAATAGTGCTGGTCTGAACCCTGCGTACCATATTTCAATATTATTGCCACATACACTTAGGGCCTGTATGGAATCAATTTTATTTTGTTTTTACTATTAATTTTAAAATTATTTGTTTATTTTGTTTTTATATAAATTTTATTTTTTGAAAAACAAATAAACATATTTTTAACATCTTAGAATAATTTTTGTATATTTTGAGTGTTTTAAAGAACAACCTTTTTTTTTAACTCAACGAGTAATTTGTTTCAAATCAAAACATAAGCAAAACAAAATAAATACAAAAAATGATCGCAAATGACTCATTAATTATGACATTTTTAAACATTGAATCAGGCTGTTTCTTCTTTCTTCCCTAACAAAGTTGTATTGTTTCTTCTTTCTTCCCTAACAAGAAATGCAATGACTTATTTGTTCATGGTTTTGCTAGAGATGATTTAATTTGCTTTTTGCTAATTTATTATTCCTGAATTTTTCATTGTTATGGTCAGGTTTGAGAATAGAGCAGGAAGAGGGGTATAAATATATTTTACATGACCCAAATAAAAAAAGTACATAAATCCAGAAATAGATCAACTAGGAAATACATAAATATGAAAACGAAAAAAATAAAGGAAGTAAATAAAAACTAATAATATCTGCAGCAGTAATTATCCTAATAATTAGTCTAATAATCTTAATACTCTCCCTCAAGTTGAAGCATAGATGTACAACATGTTCAACTTGGATTTGATGTCGTCAAACAATGGTCGAGGAAGATTCATGGTCAAGATATTTGCTAATTAACCATTGGATGGAATAAATGTAATATAATTCTCCTCAGAGTCGGGCTTCTCCTTAATGAAGTGTCAGTCAATCTCCACATGTTAGGTCCGACCATGCTAGACCGGATTATGGGAGATATTGATGGCGATTTTATTGTCATAGAACTGGAGAGGAGCATAGGCTGGCATAGACAATTCTCAGAGCATATTGCTTAACCATAGAGCTTCATAGATACCCAAGGATATAGAGTGGATTTCAGCTTCAACATTGTTCGGGCTATAATTGATTGTGTTTTGCTCCTCCACGTAACAAAGTTTCCCACACAAATAAGCAATATCTTGAGGTGGATCGTCAATCATTGACAGACTCGACTCAATATGCATCTATATAAACAACAATAGAACGAGAGATATGGCTCGAGAAAAATAAACTTGAGCCCAGTGTGCCTTTGAAGTAGTAAAGGATCCTATGGACAGGTCGGAAATGGTGCTCATAGGGATCATGCATGAATTGATCTACAATACCTGCTTCATGACAAATGTCGGAGCGAGTATGAGCGAGGTAAATGAGTTTCTCGACAAGCCTTGAGTAATGAGTCTTGTTCACCAGAACCGCATTGGAACAGCGACGATACGACTATGCCTGACATAGTCGTATCGTCGTTGCCGCTCTAATGCCACTTGTTGAGAAATTAGGTCGAAGAAAAACAGTAATCGACACAAATCCATAAGAACACAAAGAGATTTAACGAGGTTCGGCAAAGATGCCTACGTCCTCGGGAGCAGAGCGTCGACTTCCTTTTCAATATTCAGAAAAGAATACATAATACAAGATTCAGCTCTCTCAAAGACCTAGTTTTAAAGAACAACCTTTTTTTTTAACTCAACGAGTAATTTGTTTCAAATCAAAACATAAGCAAAACAAAATAAATACAAAAAATGATCGCAAATGACTCATTAATTATGACATTTTTAAACATTGAATCAGGCTGAAGTTGTATTGTTTCTTCTTTCTTCCCTAACAAGAAATGCAATGACTTATTTGTTCATGGTTTTGCTAGAGATGATTTAATTTGCTTTTTGCTAATTTATTATTCCTGAATTTTTCATTGTTAGGGTATAAATATATTTTACATGACCCAAATAAAAAAAGTACATAAATCCAGAAATAGACCAACTAGGAAATACATAAATATGAAAACGAAAAAAATAAAGGAAGTAAATAAAAACTAATAATATCTGCAGCAGTAATTATCCTAATAATTAGTCTAATAATCTTAATACTCTCCCTCAAGTTGAAGCATATATGTACAACATGTTCAACTTGGATTTGATGTCGTCAAACAATGGTCGAGGAAGATTCATGGTCAAGATATTTGCTAATTAACCATTGGATGGAATAAATGTAATATAATTCTCCTCAGAGTCGGGCTTCTCCTTAATGAAGTGTCAGTCAATCTCCACATGTTAGGTCCGACCATGCTAGACCGGATTATGGGAGATATTGATGGCGATTTTATTGTCATAGAACTGGAGAGGAGCATAGGCTGGCATAGACAATTCTCAGAACATATTGCTTAACCATAGAGCTTCACAGATACCCAAGGATATAGAGTGGATTTCAGATTCAACATTGTTCGGGCTATAATTGATTGCGTTTTGCTCCTCCACGTAACAAAGTTTCCCACACAAATAAGCAATATCCTGAGGTGGATCGTCAATCATTGACAGACTCGACTCAATATGCATCTATATAAACAACAATAGAACGAGAGATATGGCTCGAGAAAAATAAACTTGAGCCCAGTGTGCCTTTGAAGTAGTAAAGGATCCTATGGACAGGTCGGAAATGGTGCTCATAGGGATCATGCATGAATTGATCTACAATACCTGCTTCATGACAAATGTCGGAGCGAGTATGAGCGAGGTAAATGAGTTTCTCGACAAGCCGTGAGTAATGAGTCTTGTTCGCCGGAACCGCATTGGAACAGCGACGATACGACTATGTCTGACATAGTCGTATCGTCGTTGCCGCTCTGATACCACTTGTTGAGAAATTAGGTCGAAGAAAAACAGTAATCGACACAAATCCAGAAGAACACAAAGAGATTTAACGAGGTTCGGCAAAGATGCCTACGTCCTCGGGAGCAGAGCGTCGACTTCCTTTTCAATATTCAGAAAAGAATACATAATACAAGATTCAGCTCTCTCAAAGACCTACACAAACATGTCTATTTATAATCCTAGAGTAAACCCTACAGTACAATATGTAATTCTCAAATTACCCTTGTACCGTATAGTGGGGGGTTGACCCAGCATCCCCAACCCACATAACGTAACTTCCCGATTTAGACAGATTCTTCCGCTTTGTTCCAGCGTCTATCCCTATATGGTATGAGTCATACCATAACAAATCTCCACCTTGTCGAATATACAGCCCCTTAGGAGAAAAACATACCTGGGAATTACACCTGCACCAATGTGGGTTGGGCTACCATGCTTTTGCTGCTCCTACGCTAATCTCAACCCACTAAATTCCAAAAGACACACCTCTTCAATTTCAAGAGACATCTCTTTATTCCAAGAGACTCCAAATTCTGGTATTATGAATCATACCTAACAATTCTCCACCTTGGCGAATATCCAGTCTCTTAGGAGAAAATCTCCACCTTACGAATATCCAATCCTTGAAGAAAAAATCTCCACCATGCGAATATCCTGCCCCTTAGGAGAAAATCTTCATCTTGCGAATATCTAGCCCCTTAGGAGAAATATATCATGGAGTTTCTTATGCACAAATGTCGGTTGAAGCACTTTTCCTGTTCGCGCTAACACCTCGGCTAAACTGTTGTCCCGTGAGCAAAACCTTTCGTGAAATACCTCCGCGAAACCACTGTTCGCGAATAATCGCGTCTGCTCGCTCGCCAACACCCTACCGAACTCTACCTGTCGCAAACTCCACCTATCGCAACTCCTCCTGCGATGAACTTGCAAACTTCAATGGTCGAACACCACCAAACTCCTCTGTTCACAAACGCTCATGTTCGTAGTAACTGCACACGAACTCATGTTTGCTAACTTCACCTCGCCTAATGCCGCAAAGGTTCATGAAATGTCACGCTTCGAAGTCGCGACGTCGCCTCTACCGTGAACTTCTCGAAGCATAACTCGCCGAACTGCCGCAACCTTTTATCCGAACTGCTTCGCACCAGTTCGATCCCGTGAGTCTGTCTGTTTTGCGAACAATTTGTAAAATTTTATATTCTCCTACATCATAGCCAAGATTCCCTTCCTCCAGCCAAGAAAATTCAGAAAAATCTTCCAAATTTTTTTCTTCACAATACTCCTTGTTGAGCCAAAAATTTTACTCACTTTGATCCTGCCAGAAATCTTCGTAGATCCGAGAAAATCCACCAAAAGAAAATATTTCACGGCTCCAGTAAAGGAAATAAAATCACATTTCAATTAATCCGCTCTGCTTTTTTTCCAAAATTTCCTGCTTTTTTTCCAAAATTTCCTCTAAACTTTCCTTTTCGGCGTCCTGGAATAGCTCTGCTGCATCGCAAAATTTGAAGAATCTTCCAAATTTACTTCTACGCAGTTTTCTCCGCTCGCTCCAATGAAGGAAATAAAAAATTCTTGTTATTTCCGCTCCGCCTCTTACAAAGGAAATTTAGCAAAATCCTTCCGAATTTTCTTTCTATTTCCACCAGCCAAAGAAAAATTTGAAAATCCTTCTGAATTTTCTTCTTCGCAGCCCTTCTTCCGCTCAACCCGCAAAGGAATGAAATATTTCCTTCCAATTTCTCCTAGTTCGGAATTGCCTCCACAACAAACAGAGAGGAATGAAAATTGATTCTCCTTCTCCAGTAAACGGACAGGAATGGAAATCGCGAAAAAAATTCCTCCGCTTCCGCCTCGATCACACCTCCAATTCCTCCTTCCTCTCGAACTTTCGGAGTCCTGATCCGCGATTCCTTTCCGTCGCCGAAACAGAAGCACAAACGTCCCTCCCGCGACTCGAACTCTTCCTTCGGCCTCCCGCCTCCTGCGGGAACAGTGCGTCTGCGAACTCGGCCCTGTAGCAGCTATCCTCCGCTCCTTCCCGTGTCAGACAACTCCCCAGCAGTCTTCCGCACCGATGCTTTCCGCACCGAAGCCTTCCGCACCACG